TGTTCGTTATCTCCATCTTGCATACTCGTTTTCATTTTGCATACTCGTTTTCCTTCAAGTATTACAACCGAATATGTTGGGGAAGCAATTGTTACAAAACATACCATGGACATCTAAGGATTTATTATGAATTGAAATTTTCAGTCCTGTTCAGTCCTGTATAGGAATGAAATTGATAAATAAACCAGAATACCCTGATCTTAGAGTCCCAAGCTTTACCAGCCCCTCCCTAATGGGGACTGAGCTCGTCTCGTTCTCTACCAAGTTGCAGTTGATATACATTAAGATTTGGTTTGGGGATTTCAAAAGGTCTTAAAAGTGGAGAGTGATTCCAATGTCTTTCTCTTTCAGCTGGGGTTGACATGGAAACGTTATCTGAACCTCTTTTCCATCACGTGATTTGACGTGTATTATAACTAGAAATAGAAAATGACATTTAATGATTAACAGACTAGTATGATGTAGTGTATTATAACTAGAAATAGAGAATGACATTTAATGATTAACACACTAGTATAATGTAAAATAAGGTAAAACAATCCGTTTTCATTTTTTTTTACACACACAAACCTTTCGCTTAGACTCCTGATTCAGGCCGTTTGTTTGAAAAGCATATATTTTGAGCATAACTTTTGTAAATATTTTTAATTTCCTATGCTGAGTAGCTGTAAACGCAAAAAAAGACAAATGCTAAATTAAGTTTCATGGAAATTACATTAATTAATGATTACATGCAGTACCAATTCTCAGACACTTTGAAACAAGTACATTTTTTTCTAATTAGTTGCAAATGTCAATTTCTCAAGTTCAAGCTCAAGTCCATTTGAATGAAAAAGAAGTTCATTTCAAGAAATAGGCATTATACATGTACTAAGTACTATGTCAAACATCGAAATATGAAGGCACCTGCATCTTTGTCAGTCAAGCTTAACGATCCACTCCTCTCTTCTCAAACAGAGCGGATCGCAAACCCATGGCTTGCACAGATGTGGCACCTGCCATATAAAAATTCAACATTCGACATTTTTTTTCTTAAGCTATGACGGCGTATACGTGCCATTTCAAATCTCTAGAAAAAATAGAATTGTTTGTACCCGGTACGTAGCATCGGGGGAAGGGGGAGGAGGGGCCTCCCCCCCCCCACCTTATTCCAAACATAACTTTTTACTATTGAAAATGTTCATTGAATGCCCGCCCGGTCTCTCCTCCACTTTTTGCTGCAATATAGTCAATTAAGGGTAATGTTATAGTGTATGAATAAAATTTGGTAAGAATTTAAATTTAAAAAAAAAAATCGTTATTACGATTTTAAAAAAGTTTTTTAAATCACTCGTACGATTAAGAAAATCGTTAACGATTTGTTTATAAAAATTGCTTGTTTATCGAAGTGACTAAAAAATCCTTACTAAGTATTTCTTTAGTATTTTACCCTCGATATCTCGAACCCTCAGATATCTCGAAGTTTTTTTTCTGTATATATATATATATATATATATATATATATATATATATATATATATATATATATATATATATATATATATATATATATATATATATATATATATATATACTGAAGAAGAAAAAAAAAGAAGGAACAAGCAATTTTTTTTGTCAATAAGGTCTTCTTTAGGTTGTGAAAATTAATGTAAGCGTTTTCAAATTTAATATTATATGGCATGAAGATATTCAAACTATCGACCACGTCTTTCATTTAAAAGTTCAATTTGCAAAAAAAAAAAAAAAAAAAAATAGTTGGGAGAAATATATTAGTGGTCTATATCCGTGAATCGATATCTAACCAGTAGTGATGAGAGATACTTCACAGCACAATTCACATTAACCTAGGCATGCTACCATGGGGATTATTATCTGTACAAACATTTCATATACAAACAAAATAATTATTGATACATTACAGTTATTATGCTTATGGATAACATGTGAACTTTACAAGGTGACTTTGCATCAGGTGATATTGGCGTACAATATGGTGACATTCATTGTAGGGGCCATTGAACAGATTGAGTTACTCAGTAACATGCATTCGTACGAGGAGACGATACAAGATCGCAATACCTTGATGTGAAGTAAATTCCAAGTATACGATAAACTTTGTCCCAAATGTTTCATCCTCGCCCCGAAACAAAACCAACGCCCCCTGGCGGTCTTTGTCATCAAACAACTCCCCTGTCAGGAAGACATCTGGTGTCATCAGGAACGCAGAACCTATAGAATCCTGCTCCACTAGAAACAACGTTTCAAACTTTTACCATTGATTATTCCCTTTGCTATTAGCATGGTTTTGTTTACCATTAACTAATTACTGAAATGTAATACGTAAATAAAGTGCACATCCAGATCTTGTTTTAGCTTGGAGGATATACAAACGGAAGGATATGATTTTAATATATTTCTTAAAAAGTCCAAAAAAATCGTGTTTTCAGTTTTGCACCACGCTATTGCATGCATGGTTAGTAACATTATAGAATAATTCCCAGCTCTATAAGTGGCTAATATCCAACATCCTAGAAATCTAAGAAATTCTATGTTCACCTTCACATAACCTTTCAGGTAAACATAAGTATTTAATTTTTCTACACTGGGGAAAAAAAAGGTCGAGAAATTTCAGATTGATACATGTGGCGTTCTAGCTAGCATATAGCTTTTTTCAACTTCTATATTGATACAATTGGGTATGAAAAGTTATTTCATCTGCATTCGACTTTCAGGCATATTTATTTTTCTTTTTACATCAAACCAAAAACAGGTGAAGAAATTCCAAACTCATAAAAGTAGATATGTTTTTTATTATTATTTTTTTATCTTGCTTTTCTCACTCCGTTAGGCTAAGACTTCAACAAGTATAAACAATCAAGACATTGTATATTTGTATAATATTAAACATTTACAAACTTACGCATTATATTTTACTAGTATGCAAAATATATTACAAAGCTTACCCTTTTTGAGTTCCAAAGAAAATTTGAAGCATCCCAAAAGCAGAACGAGAACATGAAGAAATTTTGCAGTCATTTTTGTGTTGAAGATATTATAGTACGTCTCCTTAGTCACTTTATGGGCGTGCTTGATTTAGTTTAACTTGGTGTACACCAGTGTGAAAGATGATGTTGTATAATCAAGTGCATTTTACGAGGTGTAGTGTATATGGTGTAGTATATGTTTTGCATCTCGCCAGTGTGTGCTAAAAAATTTTTGTTTAAAGTGAAAAAAATTTAAAAAAAAAACAAAATCCCATTAATAATTGTTTGTTTGTATGTTGTTTAACGTCCCTCTCGAGAATTTTTCACTCATATGGAGACGCCCATTAATAATTGACTAAATTATTTAAAATGGTCAAAAAGTGATTTCAATGTCATCACTTACAAACAAAAGACAACTTGAATGTGATTTCTTATCCTTTATACAACATAAAATCATTTTTGAATTTTCAATCGTACCATTCTCCGCCATATTGGATTCAGTGTACACCTTTCAACACATGCCCTAAATTTGGTGTAAGAAAGTGTACACCGAGTGTACACCAAAAGTCTACACCCCTGCACTTGATTAAGAAAGGTGTACACGGTGTAAGCGGTGTAAGTAAATCAAGCGCGCCCAAAATCAAAAAGGTCGAGGGAAAATGTAACAGCTTCTGTGGGAACTTTACAGCTGTTTACAAAATTTGAGCTTCGCATGGAAAATAGCGTAATATCACAAGAACTAAAAATCGTATCGCTCTTGAATTTTTGTTAGTATATTCGCATAGTGCATTACGTTACAGTTATTCTATTAATTATTATTTTAACATTTTTAATTTTTTTTCTTTGATTTAGCACCAAGACCAAAGATATAACAAGAGATACCTAATTTTTACTCCCATCTGTAGCTAAGTAGATGCTTATCTCAAAGTTAATTTTTAAGCATTATACGCTTTCATGATTTTCTTTACAATAAAAGTCTTGTATACTAAATTATATCAGGATTTACATAGTTGGATTTAGAGGGAGCAGGTTAGTTTTAGTTCTGTCCCCTTATCCTCGACGATGTGCAAATACTACATGAAAATGGTGGCAAGACTCGACTATTTCCAATTAACATCATGAATTTGTACTAAAATTAATATTGAGACCCCTAAATCAAATAGACTTTTGTCCCATCCCCCTCTCTATCTCTCCCTCCCATCTTCTCTCTCTCTCTCTCACTAAAACTATACTTATTAATTATTACATTATTATTACTATTATACCGTAACTAATAATAATAATAATAATAAATTATAAGACGACCATTTGTTTGTGTGTTAAGTTAATTACTATGTTGCCACCCTCTCCCAAATCTTATCCATATATCTGAAAAAAAGCTTCCTAAGAGTGTGTGTTTTACAACTTTAATCATGAATCGGTTGTATTCAAACACCGCTTCTAAGTAAGCTATGAATTTTAAATTTAGGTACTTTATAGACAGGAAATTCTTAACCTTTTCACTAGCCTGGGGCAAGCAACGAAGTGTAACTCGTGATGTTTGTCAACATTGCTTAAAATTTCGGTAAGTTCGTCTGTCTGTCTGTCTCTCTCTCTCTCTCTCAGTACAGTCGATTTTAATTGGGTCGAAGAACAAGTTAATAAAGTGTGTAGTATATGGATTGTATGTGGCTTTCAACGAAGAAAAAATGGACTTGGAAATCAATTGTCTTCTTTTACAGTGTAAGTTTTGTTTTTAGCCATAATTCTTTTTTAAAAAGTTGTTCAAGTAAAACCTGAGTTTGTGTGGTTAATATATATAAAATATTGTATAATTTCAAGTAGGAAATCCAAGTTGACAGGAAAACATTTGAAAAAGATAAAGCGATGATCAGTGAGTCGTGATTATTTTTGTTCCGTTGCACAAGATAGACTGTCGTTTTAATATAAGGCACTGGACCACTTCCTTCCTTTAATAGTTTGAATGTTCAAATGTTTAACTAATAAATGGAAGCTTATATTGCAGTGTTTACCATAAATTCCATTTTATTCACAAGCTATGGGGAATCCCTATACCTTCCTAACCTTTTCCACGTTCATATCAGCACTCCCTATTGTCACGACGTCTGCTCAAACCACATGCGGTAAGTACGATAATATCGCATGAATAAAAATGTTGTTTATAGCTGAGTAAATCAAGTTTACATTCAGGAAGGTTTATCATAAGAACGCTCAGGCTGCGTCATTTTCTGCAGCTCAGGAAATTTAAGGACAGATGTTACAAACAAAAAAAAAAATGGTTGCCTGGATTGGTATATATATTTTTGGACCTATTTTGCTTGTAAATGATGCAAATAATAAATTTTTAAAATATTAAGAAATTGTAAACTTTCTATGATGTTAAAAATTCTACCTTTCGGCAACCATCTTTATCAATCTATACAACTTTTTGCCGCTTTAATCTCATCATTGTGAAACTTTTGATATAAACTTTAAAAACTATGCGGTTAAACTTATCCATTTTACTTATATAAACATGAATTCAGTTGTTATTGTCAAGATTTTGGATAAAAGTTTGTTTGTATCATCTGTCCTTAAAGAAAGATGGCAAATTTTCAAGACGACTAATCACACAGTTATTTATATAAAAATAATGTATTTAATTCACTACAAACCTTTTTTTATAGGTAAGCTATTGCCCTATCACTTTCTATGTAGAAGAAAAATTACCCATCTATTTTATTGATTTAAAATCAGTTTGATGTTTGCATAGTAGCGAGATCATAAATAAGGGGGGATCCAAAAGGGTGATCTATGCCCCTCCCCCCTACACACTCACACTTTTGTGAGATCAACAACAAATTACTGAATAGGAATTCTTAAAACTATCTCCAGGTCTCCATGACATGTTATGTACACAAGAAAAGGGGTTGTAAATGGGGTGGGATGGGTTGTGAAAACTGCCTAAACATTCATGTGGTGAAAACCCTTACCCACCCCGCCCTTCCTCGAAATGACTTTCCCTCTCTATTTTATAATACCGCGGGTAACTATGAGCTTTTTAATAAATAAAACGTTTACTCTAATTTTTCTTTTGATTTTTCATATGAAATACATTGTAAATGTGTGTTAGAAGAATGATTTATGGAAGAACACAAATGAAAATATCTTTGGACCCTGGGTGTAATTGGGGGGTCCTTTTCACAAGCATCAGTGCCCTCCACCGACAAGTGGTGGCGTCTCAAAAAGTGAAAAAACAAGCAGCATGTCTTCGATGCCTTGAGGCAGTACATTTTTAGGGTTATCGAAAGCAGCAAAATGTGTGGATTCCTACCATATCAACAGAGGTTTTCCGAATATGCAGGGAACCTCTTTTGTGCGGATTCCTACCATATCAACAGAGGTTTTCCGAATATGCTGGGAAACTCTAAGAAGAACAGAAGTTTGGCGCCGGTTTGACATTTTGGTTGAGGATGCAGGGGGCACCCTCTTGAAGGAAATGCGCTGAAAATTTAAACCACTTAGTAAGTTTTTTTTTTCAAATTGATATTGAGATCAAATGTATTCCTTTCAGATGTTCCAGTGATCCCCGCCAGCGATACCTTATCAACGTCACGCTATCCCAGAGAAGCAATCACTCTTGAATGTAACCCGTCCTCTTATGATACCATAGAATGGTTCTTTCGGTCTGGAAATCAAACTGCTCTTGATCCATTCCCATTTAGCTGGTGTCAGAATCACCCTCAAGGTCCACTCTGTAGACTGAATAATAAGAACACTTCTTTGGATATCAGCATGATCAGCAAGGAGGCCAACGGAGAATTCCTCTGTGTCGCCTCGTGTAATAAGACGAAGAGGAATACTTCAGCAACTATTATCCTTTATGTTCAAGGTAACTTTATTTTTTGCAATTTTATCAGAATATCAAACAGATATATATATATGTTTTATGCCAGAATAGCGAGCGCAGCGAGCCGCGAAGCGCCGCTCGTCACTGCGAGCTCTAACGACAACGCCTGGGCGAAGAGAAAATTGGGACTACTGCACATTCATTCAATAGAATTTTTTCTGCAGTAGGCTAATTCTGGACCCACAATGCATCGCTTGTTGTTCTCGCTGCTAACTTCGTTCATACGGTAGCAACAACTAAAAATTCACAAAAAATAAACTCACCTTAATTTAATGGATATTGCATACAGATAGTAGATTAAACGTTTTTTGTTAAAACTTTTGCACTTTTCAAACTTCGTTTATGGAAATGCTGCTAATATACTACGTCATGTGACGTCACAGTCTAGACGTTCCAAATGTCTCGTGCGGTTTGAAGAGGCGGATCTTAAAATTAATTGAACAATGCGCTCGCCCAAACGGTCGCACCGTCAACATATTAGAGTCCATATTGTTTCGATCAAATGGGTAACATGACCATTGAATAGTCTGAGCAGAAAAAAAAAAACCATGCAATTCTTTGTAGATATTACTTGAAATTAAGTATGCCGATTGCTTTTAAATTAGTGTCCTGTACAGCAGGAAATTAACTCGCGGAGTTAATATTCGCTATATTCGCGGAAATAAAAATTCCGCGAATTCAACATACAGTGAATAATTCTTCAAAAATTTATAAGGATAAATTGAAATATTACCGATATCTGTGATTAGATTTGTTAACTCTATTTGTGTTTCCTTGCAAATATAAAAGCAGTAATTAATATAGCGGAGATGCAGACTGTCTTCCTTACTATGCGTGTACGGATCAATTACTAACACGAGTTGTTGTTTTTTTTAAAGCTTAATTGAAAAAAAAATCATCTATAACTAACATGTAATTCTGCCACCCAGTAGAGGTGCGATGTAATTATCTATAAAACATGTATTGTTAGATTTCACCCGTGCGTATCACTTATCTTTAATCAAGGCACTCACGTAGTAAAGACAGCACTGTTACACATTAATTCAATTTTCTAAACAGTCCAACATTTTGACTATCGGTACTGACAACTGATTTAGATTCAGAGGGATTTAAATATACTGCAGTAAATACTACTCTGTACTCTACTCAAAACACACCTATGAACGAACACCTGCCAAAGGGCTTCTTTTTTATATGAATGTTTTGGATACGACTATGTATTTCAAAAATATTTAATAAAAAGGAAGAAAGAAAGAAAACACGAGAAAGAAAGAAGAAAATTTATATGAATGTTTAATATTGTAAATCGCACGACATTTTGTCTTCTAATAGGGATCAGTACGGTGTTTCGCTCTATTTAATCGGGTTCAAATTCTTCCAGTGCTGAAAAGTTTTGCTGCAAGTTGAACAAATCGCGATCTTTTAACCTGCTGTACAGTAGTATGATTTTTTTGGTCTAAATTATCTATTTCAAAAGGAATATTAAGTATTTTAAGAGGAAAAAAATTCTATATCACCTCATTTAAGCAGAGACGATAGAAAAATACTTATATAGCACCTCATTTAAACAGAGGCATATAATAGATCTATTATACGTCTCTGATTTAAGCGATACTTCAGTGGAATAAACTTTGATAGTTCATTCTTCCTTCATCGCCAGTTTTGTTAATATCCATCCCATAATGGTTTCACGGTCAGTACCTTCTTCTTCTTCTTCCAGTAAGGAGTTGACCTCTTATTAAAAGTGAGAATAACTCCGGCTTGGTTGAAACAGGAGGCTTCTTCTTTTAAAAAACAGAAAAAACTATATACAATGGCTTATCACGTCTACCAGGGTTGAAGCTGGGTCCAAGGGACACTGTCTAGTCCCTTCCTGAACTCCTCGATAGTAGCTGCTGCTGTCACTGTCTCTGGCAGACGATTCCAGTCTCTCACCGAACGTGGGAAGAAAGAGTTCTTCTAAACCTCTTTGGTGGCACGAGGTTGTCTATTTCTATGGCTACCTCTCGTTCTTCTGTCCCCAGGTGTGTAATATTTGTCTGGATTAATGTCCACAAGGTGGTTCCTGATTTTGTAGCACAGAACAAGTCGATGTAATGTTCTCCTGTGCTGGAGTGAGTTCCACTCTAATTGGTCCAGTAGTGATGTTACAGACCCAGGGGAGGTATCCGAGTACTGGTTGAAGACGAATCTGGCTGCTTTACGCTGTACCTGCTCCAAATCCTTTGTTAAGTTGGCCTGATAAGGATCCCACACTGATGACGCATATTCGATCGATGGTCTGATCATAGTACAGTACGCTGTTGCCTTAACTGATGATGTACAATGGCCCAGGTTTCGTCTCAGGAAGCCCAAGGTTCTTGTAGCTTTCCCTATGTTGTTGTGGATGTGTTTGGTCCATTGTAGGTCTTGGGAGATGGTAACACCAAGATACTTCCCACTCTCCGCCACTTCCAGCTGATGTCCATGCAAGGTGTATGATGTTTGCAGGGGCTGCCGTTTGTTGGTGATCCTAAGAACCGTGCACTTTTCGGGGTGGAAACACATCTGCCACTTATTTTCCCATCCCTCTAATGCAGTGAGGTCTTCCTGTAACTTGACTGCATCTCTCTGGTTCCGGATCTGACGGTAGACGAGGCAATCATCTGCAAACAGTCTGGCGTCTGAGTTGGTGCCCTCCGGTAAGTCATTAATGTAGGTCAGGAATAGTAGGGGTCCCAGGACAGTTTCTTGTGGTACTCCCGAAAGGACATCCAGAGGTGAAGATGCATGTCCATCCAGAACCACTGATTGGGTTCTACAACTTAGGAAGTCCTTAATCCAGCCCAGGGTGGTACCTGACACTCCGTAGTGCTCCAACTTCAGTAGCAGACGTTGATGAGGGACTTTATCAAAAGCTTTTGAAAAGTCCAATAAAATAATGTCTGTCTGTTGCCCCTGGTCCATATTCCTGGCTATCTGGTCCAGTGTTATGACAAGTTGTGTCTCACATGATCGGCGGGCTCGGAAGCCGTATTGCTCATCACAGAGGATACTGTTCCGATCAAAATCGTCCATAACTGTGCTGTGTACAACATGTTCCAGGAGCTTGCAGACTATTGATGTAAGGGAGACAGGCCTGTAGTTTGATCGTTGATGTTTCTCCCCTTTCTTGTATATAGGGACGATGTTTGCTCTGCGCCATTCATCTGGTATCTGGCCATGATCTAAGGAAAAACTGGAACATCCTAAGTCAGATATGGGGCTATGGACTCAGCGCTTTGCTTCAAGATGAACGCTGGAATTTCATCAGGTCAAGTAGCTTTGAATGGGTGCAGTCCCTTTAGTAATTTCAATATTCCCATCTCATGAATGGTTATGTTGTCCATAGTAGGGAAAGGACTTGGTCCTAGATCAGGTAGAGTACTTAGATCCTCCCGAGTATATACAGACTGGACTACCTACTTGCAAAATTACATTTAAACCTTTCTTATTAATGGGAAGTATCGATTTCTATGTTTTCCCTGTTAATGATTTAAGGATCACCTGAGCCGAAGGCTCAAGTGAGCTTTTTTGATCAATTGATTTGCATGAGTGCATAATATCGGGTCAAAAATTGTAGATACACCGTTTAATAAAATACTCATATTCAATTATTTTCAATTGAAATATTGAATAATAGTTCTCAAGAGTCGGCATTTTAATTAGAAATAGACAAAAAATCGTAGGTATATAAATTTACTTATACATGTAATTGTACTACGGACATTTAAAAAGCAAACCTTTATAAAAGATAGTTTAAACATTGCTGCTTTTGAACACTTTTAAGCAAAAGTTGTGTTTCAATTGTTTGAGTAACTGTACAGCACCTTGTGTGCGGTGAGGCATGGATAAGTGCGATTAGTACTCACTTTGTGCTGAATTATGACCAATCAATTATCACGTTAACCAGAGTTGGTCTTCTTTGTTATTTAATTCAAGAAGTAAATGTTTGGTCACATATCAGCTAGCTGTTGTATATAGTCCCAAAACGTTTAGATGAATGAATTGCTCTGAACAAGACACGTCCTGGAAAGCGATTGTCCATGCATTGTTTTCAAAACAGTTCAATGTTAAACACTACCACTACCCTTGAAAAATAAAGAAGGATAACTCTTCCCCTCGGATCTTTTATTCAAAAAGTTTTAAATGCAATTTATATTTTGTATATATATATATATATATATATATATATATATATATATATATATATATATATATATATATATATATATATATATATATATATATATATATATATATATATATATATATATATATATATATATATATATATATATATATATATATATATTCAATTTGTTTATTTCACTTTGCTAACATATTAAGATACATTGTAATTGTAGACTTTCAATCATGAAATATTATCCGTCTGTTTTCAAGAAATAAAGTTTTCCCAGTTTTTTACGCCTATTTTTTGTTGAAAATTAAAAAAAATGCTAAGACATATTTTATGCCATATTTGTTTTTATATACACTTTATATTAGTAAACTCTTGCCTATAATATTAAGCTTTTGAAAAAAGGAATTATATAAGAAAAACCATTTTTGTATTTCTCATTAAAATAATAAAAAAAATATTAAAATTACAATTTAACATACTGAAAGGTGGAGGTATCTCAAATCCTCCTAATTTGGGTAATTAAATATGTAGGAGAAGTTTCGTTTGGTGTCCCATACCACCTTAAGAAATTTGGGGAAAATGGTAGGGTCATTAAAAGTCTTCTCAAAAACCACTCTGTCAGAAAAAAAAATGAAATTCTGTGAAAGCTTGGTTTGGTTTGAACATATTTTATTGTAATAAATATATACAATGGGATTGGGCACAAGTTCTAAAAACTTAATTTGCCCTCTCCCTACTTGTTATATCACAAAAGATTGAATCAGATGTGTCCAACAGCATGTACAGAGTAAATTAACTCACAACATAGATACATATACTGCTAAATTATTATCTATACGTTTTTAGAAAAATCAATTAAATCTGCCTGAATGCTGAATATAAGATTGAACATTAGAGAAGAGATATTCATTTTCAGCAATACTGAGTGAAGTATCCCCCCAGAGTAAAGTATGAGTGTCAACAATATGAACTTTATTAAATCTCAAAAACTTATCGAAGAAATCTTTCCTGGCCTCAGTGTAATTCTAACAATTGATAAACCGTAGAATAACCAGGCAAGAAACCAGCCTGGTATTTGTAAAAAATATTATTACAATGAAAGTAGTTATATAAGTGTTTAAATACAATACGTTCCATGACTTTACCAACACAACTTAACAATGAAATAGGTCTATAGTTTGACAAAACAGCTGGATCGTCTTTTTTAAAGAGAGGAATAACATTAGCTTCTTGACATAGTGTGAATTTAAGTTTGTTCAATTCATGAACCCAAGGGACAGAGCGGGACAACAATAAGGAATCAAAATTGTACATAGGGAATATCTTCTCAAGAGCAGGAGGGTCATAATGTGATGTTAAATCCGCAGGCACTTCAGATAAAATTGTTCAAACCATGGCCCACCCTAACAAAAAAAATACTATAGATAACTATAGTTTACTATAGTATCAAAGTTTTTTTTTCCTTTAGTAAATCAAAGTATTTTTACGATGGATTTCAATTCTTCAATTCATACATGCACAATTTTTTTTGTATTAAATGGAACTGTCATTTGTATATTCACATTTTATTTCAATATTTTACACCACTATTATCAAAGTTAAGAGATTTTAGCTTTGAAATCTCATAAAAAGTTTCAAAGTAAAGTTTCATTCTAAATCAAAGTATCAAAGCTTTTACTATATTTAACTACATGTATAGTAAACTATAGCTAACTATATATTAAGTTTTTGTTAGGGAAGGTGGGGAAGGTGGAGTTTCAACTTTCCTGGCCCATTGGTTCTTGAGAAGAAGATTTTTAAAAGATTCCATTAATTTTTCACTAATTGTAATTATCTCCCCTTTGAAGAGGGCATGGTCCTTCATTTGAACAAACTTGAATCCCCTTCACCCACGGATACTCTGTGCCAAGGTTAGTTGAAATTGGCCCAGTGGTTCTGGACAAGAAGATGAAATTGTAAAAACTTAACGACAACAGACAGCGGACAAATTTTGATCAAAAAAGCTCGATTGAGCCTTCGGCTCAGGTGAGCTAATAATACAGTAGAAAAGAATTTACCAAGAGAAAGTTGAAAACAATTTTTTTTCCAGATAGGTTTTCTTTTTATTAATCAAAACAGAGGGAGATAACTCTTACCAATTCAAGGTCATAAATTAGGACACATCCCACTCTTACATGCTCATAGCAATAAATGGGAATTATGTCTAAATATACTGAGTATTCAACACCTACTACATGAACATATTATGTATTCAATGTCATGGAATCTTTTGTTATTAGGGATGGAATACTCTAACTTCTTTATTGCTGGTTCAACTTCTGCTAGTTTCTAAATGCCCATCGTCTCAAGCCACAGTCCGGAGTCCGCTCATAGCTCTCTCCAGAATGGGAGAGGATTGCACATTTTGGCCGTGGTTTGCGACGATGCTAAATGCCTGACTTTCCCAAAGCTTTGCCTTATATACCCTTTGTATACTCTTCTGTCTGTTATCTTATCTGTAATTATACATGTTATATGTTTATGCCCATTGGGCCCTGATTTGGTAATAAATCCTATTCTATTCTATTCTATTCTATACCCTTTGGCTAGTCCATTCCAAAGGTTATCAGGTCATTCCACTATTCGAAGTCTTAAATTCATTTTACTCAAATGCCCCATAACCATTACACCTATATATTCCTATGTAAACTATGACCTATTGTTTTGGCCCCGCCCTACTCCAAAGAGTCATGAAGTGAACAAACTAGAATCTACACTTCCCGAGGATTAGTGTATTAATATGACTAATAATGACTTAGCTGTACTTGAGACGAAATTTTTTAAAGATATTTCCTATATATTCCTATGGTAAACTTTGACCCCCTCCCCCCGTTGTGGCTCTGCCCTACCCCCAGGGGTCATTATTTGAACAAACTTGAATCTACACTACCTGAGGATACTTTTATATAATTATAATATAACTAATCATGACTTTGCTGTTCTCGAGAAGATCCATATATTCCTATGTAAAACAAAGACCCCTTCTTGTGGCCCTGTCCTACCCCGGGGGTTATGATAAGAACAAATTTCATTCTAGGCACCTGCCTCGCCTGATTGCAGGGGCATCACAATCAAGTGACTTCGGTGCTTGAATGTAACGGTGCTTGAATGTAACATTAACAAAGGGAAGTCGGGGGGGGGGGGGAGGGGGGTTAAGCATTTTTGCCTACAATTTGATTTAACATTGCCCTACCAAAATTTTAATATTCGATGTTTTCATTTTCAGATTGCTTCGCCAATGTTCCTGAATTAAAACCTCCCCAGAATGTTAGTGTTTGCCTGGAGCAAACAGCGACACTCACATGCAGAGCTCATGTAGGAAAATGTTACAACAAAAATGATGACACTTTTTTCGTTTGGACTATGGATGGAAAAGGAAAAGGATTGAAAAACAACCAGAAATACAAAATAGAAGAAAAATTGTAAGTTGTTTTATAATCATCGTCAGATCCAGGATTTTCACTTGGTGGCGCGCACATGTTTCTTTTTTATACCCCCGCAAACGGAGTTGGGGGGAGTATATACGGATCACCTTTTCCGTTTGTCTGTCCGTCTGTCTGTGCAATCTTGTAAGTCTATACTCTGTAATAGAAAATCATCAGGAGCTTGGTACAAAGATTGCTTATGACCCAAGGGAGTGTCAGGACCTTAAACCAAGATTATTCCGGCAAGTTTAAGGTCATTGACAGAAAAAGTAAAAAAAAATGTCCGAGCTATATCTCTGTAATAGAGAATTATTTGGAAGTTCCTACTTGGTAAACAGATTGTTCATGACTAGAGAGTGTCAACACTAAGGTTATTCCGGCAAGTTCAAGGACACTGGCAGAAAAACCATAAAGTTCTTGTCCAGACTATAGCTTTGTAATAGAGAATCATTGGAAGCTCACACTTGGTACAGAGCTTATGACCAGATGGTGTGTCGTGACCTCCAGCTGGGTCATTCCGATAAGTTCAAGGTCACTGACAGAAAAAAATATAGAATTCTTCTCTGAGCTATAACGTTGAATGGGGAATCATTTAAAGCTCATATTTAGTACAAAAATTGTTTATGACCTGAAGGTGTGTCAGAACCCTGACCCAAGGTCATTTGGCAAGTTCAAGATCACTGATATAAAAAGTGTAAAAATTCATGACAGGTAAAGAATTTTCTAATGGAAAACATTGTTTGTTTATATTTCAATAAAGGATTACTTATGAATAGATATCAGATGATGTGTCATTTGTCAGAGAGAGAGAGAGAGAGAGACAGAAACATAGGTAGAGAAGAGCAGAACGCTAGTTTTCTTGAGAAGGGTGAATACTTAAAATACTATCAACAACCCAGGGACTGTTTTTCATTCCACGCGTACGTCTGAAATGCATAGATCCTATTACGAGATTGGGGATTAATCACAATAAAGACATATCCGATTTTTCAACACATTACATAATACATCAATATAAAGATGATGTACAATCTTTCGTGCCTCCACCCCAACCCTTTTTGCATTTTTTTTTTGTGTTTTCACATCATGATTAAATCCTAGAAAGATAAAAATCTTTGGGCTCTTCATTCGTAACAAAATACTTAGTCTGCTAATAGTCTTTATCCAGACATAATGTTATTGTTTGACCTTGAATTCATGTATGTCTCACTCAAACACAGAGAAATCATATTGGTTATAGTCGAATTTGTCTGTCTGTCTGTCTAGCTGTTCGTCCTACTCTCTATCACAGAGCCTATCCACGCTATTACTCTAAATCCTTGATAAGAATGGACTCATACTTAAAATTAGACAGTGCGATGTGGCAATCTTTTTGTATTTTGAAGAATTGTTTATGCCCCCATGAAATGACCGGGGTATAATACGAGGAATATTATCCCTTTCTGTCCATCATTCTGGCATTTTTCTAAAAAAAATTTCTTTGTGTTTGTGTTTTTAGGGTGGGGTGGGGAGGAGGGTATGAGCTGGTTTTAAGTTTTCCTCTTTATATTGACAACTTAGATATTAATTTCAAATTTCATCTTGAATGACCCATTTTCACAAAAGTTACTTCCCGTAGATTTAAAAGAATTTTGACTATTCGCTGTGTGCGGAACCTTCTTTTTTGTTTGCTTGTTTTTTTTTGTTTGTTTGCTTTTTTTTTTTTTTATAATTTTGCTTTGCATGTAGACAATGATTTACTTTTGGCGTTTCCTTATACTGATGGCGTTAAGACCAGATTCGAGTTTTATATCGACTGACTCATTTGCACGAAAATTATTGCCCTTAGATTTTTTTTTTTTGGCCTGTGTTTGTTGATAGTGATTTGATCTTTGGTCTTTATAGTTTATATTGCTCTAGGACTTTCAAATGAAAGTTCTTTCTATTCACTATTTCTTGTTCGTTTACTTCCAGAGAAGGAGACGATTTGGTGACAACTCTCACAATCGGTAATGTCACGGAGAAGGATATGACGTCATATAATTGCGTGCTGGTTGACAATAAATTTGTTAGTGGTAACGGGATTTCTACGGTATTTCTTACTAAGAAAGGTGGGTGACACTATCGATGGATAGTACAAGGATTGCTAGAGATTATGCGAGTGATTTTTTTTAATAAACTCATGCTCATTGTATGGTTTAACGAAGTTACACAGATAAAAGACATGTAATACTGAATAAATACACCCGATCCGATACTTATTAGCTGTTACTATAACAAACTTATTAGTATTATTTGCATGCTTATAAGACTCATAAAGTCTGACTTTTAGACCGTGAGGTCTACCATGAACGGTATATTATTAGCTTCAACTAGCAAAGGCTAACAATATGATATAAAGTAGACCACGGTCCATTATTATCTTTAAAAACAACCTTGTAAATAGCAGCAAATCAACTCTTGAATACTAGGGGTTATCGCTTCGAAAAAATAAAATAAAATAAAAATTAATATTTTATTTATCGATTTTCAAATTATTTAATTTCTTGTTATGTCTAAAATGATCAATGTGAAATCGGGAAAAAAAATTAAATTAAAAAAATCTCGTTACGTCACATCGCCGAGTAAAGTTTGCGGGAACATTCCACGAGATCTGGCTGACTGGAAATGTCACATGTATCCAAATGATCATGATTTGGTAAGTAATTAGATCTATTGCAAAATGAAGTGCAGTCAAATGAAGATGCATACATGTGCATAAATATATATATGTAGTAGGGATATTTGTAGAAGTACTTGTAAAGAGATCAATACACTGTAATAACATTACTCGAATTTCTTCTATCACCACATTTCGCCTTTGTGAGGAACACTGTAGATGGCATCAGTCAGGCCCGTAGGAAGCAATTTCAGTTTGGGGGGGGGGGGGGCACAGCCATACATTTTTCAGTGGACAGTTGAGGGGGCACTCCAAAAATTTCCTGACAAGCAAAGAAAAAATAAAAATAAAAAAAAAGACATGAACTACCAAAAATTCGTTGACAAGCCAAAAAAATAACAAAAAAAGGACATCAACTACAAAAATTCGTTGACAAGCAAAAAAAAAAAAGGTCATCAGACGTTTTTATTGAGGGTGCACAAGCATATAGTATCAATGTTTACTATAGTAATCTATATATCGGCAAAATTATTGGGGGGGGGGGGCGGTTCCTACGGCCATGTCAGTATTATGATTTAATATATGTATAAGCATAAGGTTTTAATGATTTTGTCTCATTGATATGAATTTTACGATGGGTTTACAGTTTTAATCAAATTTTCAGTAAGCACCCCAAGTGAGTGAAAGGGGGGGGGGGCATTGTTAATGAATTTACTTTATTAGTTTATACAGTTATCCATAAAGGTGACTTTTGCCTGGAGAAGTAGAGCAATCTCTTGTCTCTTCTACTTCATGCCCTTAGTATGAACTTCAACATGTTCAATTGAAGGAAATATTTATATGGTGTAGACTTTTTATTTAACCTGTTGCCTTTTCATAAGGCTTAATAAATTATGATTTGTTTGTCTGTGTATGTGGGTTTATTTTACGCACACAAAAATCCAACACATTTAAAATAGCTGTTTTTAATAATATATATCCCTATTTGAAGCTCACTTAGTCCTGTCAAAAATCTTATTTAACATACAACCTTACAAATGTAAATGTTCCAAAATGGTGGAAAACAAGGTAGGTCAAAATGAATCCAATCCTGATTCTGTGAATCAACTAATAAAAACCTTTGGGAAACAGGGATAATTTTTTCATATTATTAGCTCATCTGAGCCGAAGTTTGAAGTGAGCTTTTCTGATCACATTTTGTCTGTAGTCCGTCTGTCTGTTAACTTTTCACATTTTCGACTTCTTCTCCAGAACCAGTAGGCCAATTTCAACCAAACTTGCTACAAAGTATCCTTGGGTAAAGGGGATTCAAGTTTGTTCAAATGAAGGGCCATGCCTTCTTTCAAGGTGAGTTAATTATGAATTCGTGAAAAATTAATGGCATCATTAAAAAATCTTCTCAAGAACCACTGTGCTTGAAAACATGAAACTTATGTGGAAGCATCCTCAGGTAGTGTAGATTCAAGTTTGTTCAAATCATAACCCCGGGGGTCGGGTGGGGCCACAAAGGGCGATCAAAGTTTTACATAGGAATATATAGGAAAAATCTTTAAAAATCTTATTCTCAAGAACAGTAAAGCCATGATTGGTCATATTTATATGCATCCTCAGATAGTGAAGATTCAAGTTTGTTCAAATCATGACCCCTGGGGGTCGGGTGGGGCCACAATGGGCGCTCAAGGTTTTACATAGGAATATATAGGAAAAATCTTTAAAAATCTTCTTATCAAGAACAGAAGAGCCATGATTAGTCATATTCACATGGTAGCATCATCAGGTAGTGTAGATTCAAGTTTGTTCAAATCATGACCCCCGGGGGTCGGGTGGGGCCACAATGGGCGATCAAAGTTTTACATAGGAATACATGTATAGTAAAAAATCTTTTAAAAAAACTATTTCTTAAGAACAGCAAGGCCATGGTTGGTCATATTTATATGGAAGCATTCTTAGATATTGTAGATTCAAGTTTCTTCAAACATGACCCCTGGGGGTAGGGTGGAGCCACAATGGATGATCAAAGTTTTACATAGGAATACATAGGAAAAATCTTTAAAAATCTTCTTATCAAGAACAGCAAAGCCATGATTGGTCATATTCACATGGTAGCATCCTCAGGTAGTGTAGATTCAAGTTTGTTCAAATCATGACCCCCGGGGGTCGGGTGGGGCCACAATGGGCGATCAAAGTTTTACATAGGAATACGTGTATAGTAAAAAATCTTTTAAAAAAACTATTTCTTAAGAACAGCAAGGCCATGGTTGGTCATATTTATATGGAAGCATTCTTAGATATTGTAGATTCAAGTTTCTTCAAACATGACCCCTGGGGGTAGGGTGGAGCCACAATGGATGATCAAATTTTTACATAGGAATACATAGGAAAAATCTTTAAAAATCTTCTACTCAAGAACAGCAAAGCCATGATTGGTCATATTCAAATGGAAGTATCCTTAGGTAATGTAGATTCAAATTTGTTCAATTCATGCCCCCCCCCCCCCCCAACCACTTTTATATTTAAACTTTTCAACCTTTCAAGACTGAACTGATTTCTGCTTTTTCCTAGCCATAGTGCTCAAGTGAGCAATGTGTCCCCTGGGCCTCTTGTATATTTTCTATTACTGTGAAGGTATACCATATAAGCAACACAGTTTTATAAAAGCCACTCTGCTCATGATGTATATAGTATCATTATATGGCCATATCCTGGTGTTGCCCGTTACGCTTAGGAATATATAATAGACCTATATATATATATATATATATATATATATATATATATATATATATATATATATATATATATATATATATATATATATATGTGTGTGTGTGTGTGTGTGTGTGTGTGTGTGTGTGTGTGAAGATGGGCGTGTTTGGCGTGTGATCTGCAGGTATAAGGCGTACGAAACATTTATAGTTTAAATGTCTACGATTTGATCGGTTGACCACAGCTGGACACAGTTTATAAAGTTACGCACATGGAAAAATGTTACATTTAGTTTGAAATACTTCGTAAAATTTAATATATCAGTCCGTAATAATTACTACATGTAAAAATTAGTAACGCCTCACATAAATAATAAACACATATATAGTTAAATGCAATTACAAGTACATATATATATATTATCAGTAGGTTAGAAGAATTGCTATTGCTTTCGGTGCAACAGAACCAGAATTTATCTATTTGAAAATAAATCAATACATAAAATTAAACTGACAAAATAATTGATTGTTTGTACTAAAAAATATTAACGCTCCATGCGAGGATCGAACCAAAAATATTTCTTTTTTATTGCATTTACATTTTAATGGATACTACTGAGCTATCACCGCTACACACACTTTATGGTTTTTAAAGTGACAATGAAGCACCGCATTTACACATTGGAATTTTTTTTTAGGAAAAGTTCATTTTTCATCATCTCCGGGTCTTCTCTCCATTTTTTACAAATGTTTATTAGCTTCTTTGAATTAAAATGTACACAAATAACATTTCAAAATCATGGAGAGATGACCCAGAGATAGCAAATTTTTAGAAAAACTTGTTTTAAAATGTAACATTTTGTACCAAATGACTCATCTAGCCAATTTTCAAGTTCCTTTTTAGCAAATCAAAATACAATATCGGGAAAATATTTCCCTTCCTATTTCACAGGAACCCAATACATGAAAAGAATTCTAAAATTTCATGTGTCAGATCAATGAAATTTTCACTTTTCAAATTGGCCCAGATTCCTGCCAAATGCCAATCAAAGGTGCCCTCGTTCTTTGTTCATGTCAAACATAAAAGCTAGTCAATATTATGAAAGGAGAATACTTGTACAGTCACTTGGGGCATGGACACCCTTCCCCCTTCCATTTTTTTTATTTTAAATCTGGGATCCAAACACTTTTTCATAGTTGGACTGGGACAATACAACTTTTTAGCTCGGCTCAAGTGAGCTTTTCTGATCGAAATTTGTCTGTCGTCGTTGTAAACTTTTCACATTTTCCTCTTCTTCTCAAGAACCACTGGCAATTTCAACCAAACTTACCACAAAGTATCCTTGGGTAAAGGGGATTCAAGTTTATTCAAATAAAGGGCCATGCCTTCTTCCAAGGGAAGATAATTATGATTTCGTGAAAATTAATGGCATCATTTAAAAATCTTCTTCTCAAGAACCACTGTGCTTGAAAACATGAAACTTATGTGGAATCATTGTGAGGTAGTGTAGATTCAAGTTTGTTCAAATCTTGACCCCCGGGGGTTGGGTGCGGCCACAAAGGGGGATCAAAGTTTTACATAGGAAAACATAAGAAAAATCTTTAAAAATCTTCTTCTCCAGAACAGCAAAGCCATGATTGATCATATTTATATCAATTGTATGGAAGCATCCTTAGGTAGTGTAGTTTCAAATTGTTCAAATCATGACCCCCAGGGGTAGGGTGAGGCCATAATGGGTGATCAAAG